AAACCTGGTCATTATTTAAAGGGGAAAAAATGGCTCTGGCTTCTTGGTCTACTGACTTACAACATTGCTTTTTAAAAATAGTGTACATTCCTAGCACTTGAGACCATGTAGTTAGCCTGCAGCCCATCACTCTGAAAAGGGATGCTCCAGAATTAATGGTGGAAAATATGAACATGCACAATTAAAATCATCACGTGGTTTTGGCCTAATGGTTTCCTATAGGATTTTTAAAAGGCACTGCCAAAATCTCCCATGTCAAACCCTCTAGAGACTGCTAAATGTGGAGGGATGGCTCTTACTCAAAACACCTCATCTTCTATCTGTTCATCCTTTTTCCCTCAGTAAAACCCATGGTGGGAGGAGAGCCCCTTAACTGGATTTGAGTTGAAGAGAATTGTGCTGAACAGACTCCCTACCTCTTCAGACTGGCACCCAACTCCTGCGTTATTATTTTGTATTCAACCAGGCTTTCCGTTCCAATCTTCTCACTCCCAACAATGATACTTTCTGCCTGACCCCACAACCTCACCTTGCAGATTTTTATATAAGGCTTACATCAGGGTATAATGTGTGTGGAAATCTGATTTAATGAAGTAGTTTTGCCAACACCTCCAAGCTTGTGGGTTAATTTTCACCAAAACTCATCTAGAAACTGCAAGTTTGTGTTAATCCATGACATGTTATTTATGAAGAGCTATAATAGATTTAAACAAAATTGTCTTTTTCTCTCTAACTTTTTTGTAGAGTGTGTTCCTTTGGATGGAGATGATCCAGATCACATACAGTGGATTTACCAAAGAGCTTTAGAAAGAGCATCACAGTTTAACATTAAAGGTGTTACGTACAGACTAACTCAAGGTAAGAGAATGGTATTTTAGTCTCTGTTAGTGCAGAGTAATGTCTTGCAAATGATGACCTCTGTGTTCAGAAGGTATTCAGCTGTCACTGGCTTTATGTACAAAACTTCAAAATACAGTTTTACCTATTCTAGAAGAATGTGTAGGTATTGTGGAAATTATAAATGGGAGGCGGTGTAAAGTGATTTCGGGTATACCCATCTGCAGTCAAAACCATCACAGATTTTGCATAACATAATTTGTCACGTAAAAATCATTTCTGGAAAAAACAAACCTATGTGTTTTACCTCGGCAGGGGTTGTTAAGCGGATCATTCCAGCTGTGGCATCTACGAATGCAGTCATCGCAGGTATAGTAATACCAGAAGGCAATGCTTTTGTACGTGTGGCTTCATGTTTCAGTAGAAGTTCCCAGCATCTAGAATGCAAGCTCTACTTCACTCCACCTATTCTCAATAAATAATGAGCTTTTCATAGGCAATTAAGGATTGGAGGGCTAGTGTGGATGCAGCTGGGTTTTGTCATTTTATGATTGGCCCACTTTCCTTTTTTCATTACCCTATTTTTGCCTCCATATGGCAGCTACTTTGGTCTTGCCTGAATTTTGATCTTCCTGTGAGAGTAAGCAAAAGCTTGCCTCAGATGAGAGAGATGGCAGGAATAATGCAAGCTGCCTTCAAACCTGCCTTAAATTCATGTCAAAATCACATTAGTGTGTAGCCTCCGAGCTTCCTGTCAGTATGTTGGATAGAACCTCTTGGCTTCTGTTTTTCCCTTATTTATGCAATATATTGACTTTGCATGCGTGCATGTATGTGTGTGTTCTGAGATTTGAGAACAAAGTAACTGTTTTTCCCTTTCCAGCTGTATGTGCCAGTGAAGTTTTTAAAATAGCTACAAGGTAATGTGTTGGCTTTTAATAACATAAATATTTTCAACAAGGTTATTTGTATAAACACTAACACATTTCTCATTACAGTGCATACATTCCTCTTAACAACTACTTGGTGTTCAATGATGTAGATGGACTCTACACGTATACGTTTGAAGCTGAGAGAAAGGTCAGTACTATTACACCTGAGCCTCTAGGCTTCTGAGGTTGTTCTCGATTTGTTGCAGTACCTTTTTGCAATAGCAATTGGATACTTATTTGTTAAATTTAAAATTGCATTTCTTTGGCCCCCAACCCTCAGAGCACAGACAGATGACGAAATGTGGGGTCCTTTTTGTATGACCCCATTGCAGAGCTCACTATAGCTGTCTCTTCCAAAAGACCAAGTTGGCAGTGGTACATTTCTGATGAAGCTTTGCAAAGTGAGGACACTACTATACTGTGTGCACTGTAACTGTTACAAGTAAACCAGCCTTGCTCTGCATATCCCACCTGCCTTCCTACTGTTTACATCTCCTTGAATCCTGATCCTAAACCCACCCATTCTCCAGCTACTGCATTCTATTCCATCCCTTACCATCAACAGGTGCTAGTCTCAAAATTTCACAAATACACAATCACAGACTCCAAGTGAGGCAGAAACAAAGCTACTGGATCCATTGTGCAGAAATATTTTCCTAGTATTAAAAAATATAACTGACCCTTAACTTGATTAAATGCATAGGATTTTTTTATGTGCATTTGTGTGGTTGTTTGGTTTAATAGTGGTGGCAGTCTGTATATGAATTGGTTTCTCAGAGTAGCAAGACTTTCCCCTATCAAATTAACTAAGGTGAACAGTAGTTGAGGTCAGGGTTCACAAGGTATCTTTAATGTATAACAAGTGTACTTTACACCCCAGGCACTGTGCTGTTACTCTGGGAAGAAATTTCTTTGCTCCAGGCTTCCACATCCTCAGTAATCAGTAGTATTGTTCCACTGGGTGTCATTTAAAGTAGAAGGGACTTATTTGATAGCTGAACCAAAGGCCTACCTCTGCTTTAACTAGATTCATTATAGGGTAAATAAAATTTGTTGGGTGACTTAATGAAGAAACATTGATACTTGTCAGGCCAAGGTTTCTCAATTCCTAAGAGAAGTAGTTCTTGATGCAGGAAGCATTTTCTGTCAGCTACTTGTGTTGGGCTGCTGGCATGCCCCTTTTTTAAAGTTACACCAGTTCTTTTTTCAAGAACTTTTAGCCTGAAAAAGCGCAGGCTCAGGGGTGATCTGATGGCCACCTACAAGTTTATCAGGGGTGACCACCAGCATCTGGGGGGAACGTTTGTTCACCAGAGCGCCCCAAGGGATGACGAGGTCGAATGGTCACAAACTACTTCAAGATCGTTTCAGGCTGGACATAAGGAAGAATTTCTTTACTGTCCGAGCCCCCAAGGTCTGGAACAGCCTGCCACCGGAGGTGGTTCAAGCGCCTTCATTGAACACCTTCAAGATGAAACTGGATGCTTATCTTGCTGCGATCCTATGACCCCAGCTGACTTCCTGCCCTTTGGGCGGGGGGCTGGACTCGATGATCTTCCGAGGTCCCTTCCAGCCCTGATGTCTATGAAATCTATGAAACTATTTAGAAAAGGTGTTTTTTAGGTGGTTAAATTCTTAACTTCAGCATTTGCTTTTGCCAGTCTACCTGGAGGAAAACAGTATCGGTGTCTGGAGAGCTAAATGTGTAGCAAGGAAGCTTTACTGCTCTGACATGAAGAATTTAACCCACAGAACAAAATACAGTGTCTAATGACACACCAGCATTTGTCCTAACACCCTTGTTTGTTCAGTAACAAAACTACCATATTAACCCCAAATGTTAAACCAGACATATTACAGGCTGGCTGTACTGCCTTGTGTATGCAAAAATGCTTATTTTATGTTAATAACTAAGGGCTTGAAACCAAGCCCAATTAAAAAGCAGATGGAAATGTTCCAGTCGGGTGTACTGGGAACTGGATTGCATCCTTAATCTGCACACAAGTACTACTATTTCTAAATCTAAGGATGAATGCATTTCACAAATAATTGTAAATGGCAAAGATTTTACTGGCACTTATGTTTTTGGAACAATCTGTTGTTATAAACTTGATTCCTGTATAACTTTTCTTGTAGGAAAATTGTCCTGCCTGCAGCCAGCTCCCCCAAAATATAGAATTCTCTCCATCTGCTAAATTGCAGGAGGTCTTGGATTACTTGACAACTAATGCTTCATTGTAAGTGTGCAACTATTCTGGCTACTTATTTTGAGGAACTTGTTTTGCAGCATGTTAATATTTATTTTTAAAACAAACTTACTCGATGTGTTTCCTATCCACTTTTTCATATTTTTCATGCAGGCAAATGAAATCTCCAGCAATCACAGCAACGATGTATGGGGGGAATAAAACACTTTATTTACAGGTAATTTCTATTGTCATAATTTTGCATAGTTACTGAAGCTCTGTGTAAGTTTGCTGCCTTGTTTAATTTAAAATAAAATGTTGTTTCTTGTCTCTTCCCTCCTACCCCCGCCCCCCCCAGACAGTAGCTTCAATTGAAGAACGAACAAGGCCGAATCTTTCGAAGACGTTGAAAGGTATTGTCTAACTGAATCACAAAGTTACAGTTTAAGTGATTCATGGTTCCAGTGGGCTGTTTTACCTCTGCAGCAAGCTGCACTTCGTCCTCCTATTACTGCAAAACAGTATAAGAAACAGATATCTTAAATTGGTTGCAAGTTACATTGGATAGAAACTAAATGAAATTAGGACATACCTAGTGTTAGACATCTTGATTTGTCATTTTGTTACATGGAAAGGTAGAAATTGCTGTGCCATTATAAAATTTAAGGATTTATTGATTTATTACAAAATACTCAGTGCATAATGGATTCTGTACCTAGTTTTTTGTGGAAGAGGAACTGTAAGGATAACTTACCTCTGAGTAGGATTTTCAATGCAGTTTGCTGTCTGTTTCCCTTTAGAATTTTAACCATGTTGCAAAAGACAAAGGGGAGTGAGACATTTCTTGATTGTTTTCTGTTCTCACTTCCCTGGTTCTACTCTGCAGCAGACTATGCTTCCAAATTGTTTTTCCTGCTGTTACAGGGGTGTAGGTTGTAGCCATGTTGGTCTAAGGACATGGGTAGACAAGGTTCTTTGGGTGAATCTGGTATCTTTTATTAGCCCAACTCAGATAGTTGGAAAAATTCTTCTTAGCAAGTTTTCGGGTTTAAATACCCTTTGTCAGGCTGAGGAAGCATCTGCAGTTGGTACGTGCTCTTCCTGGATGGAATAAATAGTAAAGAAACCAGATGCTGCGCTGCTATGCATACAAGACAGGCAGTCAGTGAAGATGTAAATTTTCCTGCTGTCTCACTTTCCTGTAAGTTACTCTAGACATGAGCTCCCCTGTCTTGCAGTATCACTTGTATGAACAGATCCCATTAAAAATACATCACCCAGCAAATAAGGTAATCATTGAGCTAGAACTTCAGTTTAGATCTAGCCTGTTTTGTTCTTGACAAATACCTCGTGTTGGTCAACTTCACTGTAATTCAGTAAAGAAGCTGTTAAATCTAACGTGTATACACAACTCCTCTAGCTTTCTTAGAGGTGACAGACTTGTATTTTTTTTTTAATTTTCAAATCTGTCGCACTTACCTTCTTTTTTTTCCCCTTTCAGAACTTGGTCTCGTCGATGGCCAAGAACTTGCAGTGGCTGATGTTACTACCCCACAGACTATGCTGTTCAAGCTTCATTTTACTACTTAATTTACACACAATTGATTCCCACATTCGTTGGGAGAAGTCTGCACACCTTGTCAAACAAATGTGCTCTATGTGCATGTTTAAATGTAATCTAAAATGTCCTTTTTAGCAACAGCATTGCTGGAAGTTAGTTTATCCCAAAAGAATCGCCTGTATTTTAGAACTGTCTCTTAGAAGCCAATATTTGGTGGATGGTACTTGTATAAATGCTCCTTTTAATGTACAGAGCCCGGATACAGTGATAAATGTGTTTTTTCAATGTGTGTTGATCCTGTTAAAATAATGCTGACACTCCTTCCTATGCATGACAGTTCTGTGATGATCAAAGGAGTTGTTCCGTTTTGCCCATCTGAATGCCCACCTATACAAAAAGAATATCCTTAAAGAGAACCATGGTGATTTTAATTTAAATTTTAGAACCCATATACATTTCCTGAATCTTACCTTGAAACCTGAGGGCTGTAGAGGAAAATAAGCATTATGCTTGTTTATTTAAGCAAATTCATAAAAATGAGTATTAACAGATACTAAGTATTGAAAAGACTTAATTCCGTTGTTTACAAAATAGGGGGAAAGACGATGTAATTGAACTAAACAAACACCTGTACATGAAAAAAGCATTTCCTTGTGTATATTTGCAACAGACAAGTGGCTGCTATGTACAGTATTGCAGTCAAAAACCCACTGATGTTCAGGACTGAGTTGTATTTGGTTATTATTGATGCTGTCACAATATTTATTAATAAAAACAAAAAGATACCTTAGTCTGCTGATTGTGTGACCACTATTAAAATGCTTGCATGGTTGTAACTTTAACTATTCAGGAGCAGAAAAGGGTTGCGGGTGGCTGGGTGCGAGTGTCACAAACTCGGACAATGCCTTCCTCCTTTTCTACCTGTGCCTGGAGGAGGAATAAACAGTAAATGCTTCAAGACAGTACATGGGACAGACTGAATCATTTCACGATGCATGAAAAACTCATATGAGGAATCGGCTGCATTTACCATGAATATAAAACTGTGAACATTGCAGCAGGCTGGAATATTTTTGGAAACGTGATACAGAGCAGAACACTGATAGTGTTGAAGCGCCGTGAGATAGCAGGTGATTTATTCAGAGGTGTAATCGTTAGCCAGTCTTGGAAACGACTCCACCAGTTGGAGCAAGGATTTGACTTCCTTGCGAGGAGTCTGTACAATCGGGTGCATCTGTGCATGCGCTCGGCTGTGGAGTAAAGTGTCACCATCTACCTGTGTGATGCTATTAGGCCACAGCAAAGTACCGCTGCCCTAAAATAGTACTGTTGGGGGTGGGGCTGTTTTAGGGCAGGGTAAACAGGGATTAAGTGCATGTGTAGATGGTGACTCCAGGCATAGTTTGTGCCAGGTCTGCGCAGCCCAGCCAGCAAGGGCCAGACAGCTGCCTGCGCCTAGCCACAGGTCTGCACGGTCAGGACCCTCGTGGCGCAGCCCGCCCCCTGATACTCGCTGAGCCCTTCCTACCACCACCTGCTCGGCTACGGCGGCCCAGCGGGGACAAAAAGCAGACGCGCTTCTCCAAACCCAGCCCCCCCATGAGGGTGGGGCGCAACCGGAAGAGGAAGCCGCTGCTCCGAGCCCCCTGCTCCGCCATGACACATACCGAGGAGGAAGTGGAGCCTGCAGTCCGCCATGACAGCCCCTGAGGCGGAAGGGGCCGGAGTGTTCGCCGAGCAGCGATGGCGGCCGTTGAGGCGCAGCCACGTGACGGCGGG